GGCACATTGTGATAAGGTACACAAATGTCTCACTTCCCATCCCGGTGAACTGAGTCTACCCATTTCCTGAGAGACCGCTGTTTACTGCGGCGCAACTTTCATATGCAAAATGTGATTGGCCACTTTTGGTGCGTTGAATTTGGTTTCCGGTTTCCGCTGCCCATTGGAGAAGTGAATGGAACAAGTACAAGTGTGACTGCAGTAAAAAAAAGAAACAAAAGAATCCAAACAGTGTAACCATGCGCAGAAATGAGGATCTGCAACCGGTCACTGTTTGCGCCATTCATCTATATTGCATTGCCTTTAATGGTTGATTAAGTTGATCCAACGGGCAATCTTCTGGTTAAAGAGTCATTTACTCTTTTGCTAGGTTTATTTTTAACCATCGTCGACCTGCTTACAATCAGTGCTTATCCGGACAATCGTCACATGTCGAAGAACAATAAATATGGTTACTTGCGTAACAAAACCCAGTCATCCTGATCCACGGTGAACAAACACTTTTGCAAAGGCGTGACCGCGATTGTTTGTTTATCTCAGCCTCGCCTCACCATTGCATGTTCGGTCGCTTCACTAGATCTGTGCNNNNCATACTTCATCTGTGACTCATCCTACCCCAGGGAAGAGGAATATTTCCAACAAGTGACCACAATCTACTTTCTCCACTGACTGGACAGTCTGCGCGTGGGCGGTCGCCCATAAGTCAAGTGACGCGCAAACACGAACCCCAAATGTCATCTTAGAAAAAAAAACGAGAAGTCTAATTTACGTGTACCAAAATACCGAAAAATTTACAAGCAAAATAGTCTACTTCACCTTATTAGACAATCCGGTTCCATGTACAAAAGGAAGTTCATCCGTGAGGAGTTTACGCTTTTTGCAATTCAAGTTGCCCGAGCATTATTTCGAGATGTCCGGGTATTGTTTCCAATTGTATGAGCATCATTTCAAGTTGTCTTGTACCTCTTCAGAACTGCCAGGCTCATTTTTTTCTAGCCACACAGCGATGTCTGGGTTACCTCTATACAGCATGGACTTCACAACTTTCTGTTAAAGCGATTGTGAGACGCACCTCGGTCTACCCCCACTCACACAATTCCTAAGACACATTGTGATCATATTCCCTGCTAGTACGCGTACACACCTGTGTAAGCGTGTGCAATCGTCCTGAAAAATCATTTTCCATGTCATGCCCCGCTGATACCAATCAGTTATGCGCAATCAGCGCTGGAACCATCGCTTAGGTCCGTCACATGACACTGCAATAGCATTCATAAGTTACATCTCCAGTGGCTGCAAAAGGACACCAATCGATCATGCTCAATGAGCATGCATCATTGTCGGCCAGATTCACATTCAGTTTTCGCAACGCTGACGGATTATGTATTCGATCTCTGTGTTGTCGCCACAGACGTACCAGCAAAAAGTCTACCCTTCGCGCAATCAAAATGACCGGTTTGACCATCTATCGAGAGCGAAAACCAAGTTCTATGGAAATAACGTAACGAGGGCTGTCAAAATGTATGATAATCACGAAATTTTATAAGAAATTCCAAGTTCAAAAATCGGAATGTTTTCCAAAAATGCTTTCTTCTGAGGATTGATTTCGACTTTGATCATTTTTATCGCTGAATTCATATAGTCCTAATAAAACACTTCTACCCACACACATCAAACCCAGTAAATTAAGGCTAAGGTACGACATTCACTGGATTTGAACAGGGTCAATCGAAGGTGCAAAAAAACCATTGGGACACTTCAAGTTATCCAGTCGATTTCATGATGAGAACACCATTTTTTTCGTTCCGAATATGGTGATTACCGAAGCCACAACGATCCAGAAAATGTGAAGGCGTTCAATAGCTGACGATATATTCGGACATTATTTCAAAACATGTTTATTAGAAGGAAAAATTTAGTGGTAGTACTGCTATGCACTGCTCGCATTATTCCAGTAGTTTGAGACAGAGGTGGAGAAATTCCTGGAATATACTGATGCCATTTTGTTGCGATTTGCTTCGTATTCTTCATCACTGAATCCAATAGAAGGTGTCTGGAGCGTGAAAGAGCATTGTGCGAAGCAAACCACACGCCAGCAAAACCTGGGTCATATTTGCGGGGGATCTATCTGGCACGAGGGTATGAAATCCCTAACTAGGGGACTGGTTAATATAGATCCTATTAGACTCCCTGGCTGGGTACCTCGGGATGATCGTAACCGATGGTTAGAGATACTGCGTTTCGTTAACGGTGGCGTTTGTTGCATCTCAAATTCTTTGCAACCTTAGAGCACTGAAATTCTCGATTTTCTGTTCAACTGTTGTGTCCTCCTCCTACTGCTTCATCGAAATGGGGACAGCCAAAAATCAGTAACCAAAACCGCCGCACAAATGTTCATGGTCAATGGTTGTACATACTGAAACCGAACTGTACATCCGGCACGTTGTCCGTGATCGAACTTTGTGCAGCGAAGAATGTGCTCCGACTGCCAGGATATCTGTAAACCCAGATATGTGTGCATATATGATTCAGCCTGTATCTGCCATTTAATCGAAAGTGGAAACGATTATCATGCGATAAAATTTAATAGTTGAGAATATACAGAAGAGCAGGACATCAGAATAACACGCGGTACGGGGGGAGGGGGGGTAAACAAACGGTGATCAAAATCCGTATGATGTAAAGATCGTGAAATGTGCACAGAGTATTGAAACAGTCAATCAATAACCAATTAGCATGACGACTGGGATGTGTCTGACATAATGTGATGGAAGGTGGTACAAAGAGAGTCCCAGTCAGCGAACGAATCAACTATAGGGCCTATCCAACCGGGTGCGTAGACGTACCGGCTGGAAGTAATTCGCGAGACAATGTCGACTACCACTCGAAACGAACGAATCGACAATTACAGCCCGACGGACAATCCTCATCTAGCCAGAAAAGATATCCACCGAATACCACAACGTCAGAGCTGTCAATCAATGTATCTCACACTACGATTGGGTCGAACCAGTTGGAACGGCACGCGGAAGAAGAAGAAACGTGCGGACCAAAACTGACAGAATGAGGCATGAATCATCCTGCCGCTCGGTTGAGAATTGATTATATATAATCGAACGCATACACCGGTTGTTTTTGAATTGGATCAATAAACGTTTTGTCAGCCGACTCGCCTCCTCGTTTACAATAGGATAGAGAAGACATCGTCACAGACAGTGTGCTGCTCGGTAAAGCACACTATTCGTGTGAACTAAGCAGGAGCATATTAGAATGAATGTTTGGCCGGTTGAAACAATGTGAATTCTGTAGAATATTCTCCGTAGATAGTGTAGAAATACTGTTTGTGAGGGAATTTCTTTTTTTTATATATTGCATCAGGCGGTTACTTGTATAAGGTGATCATATTACAACAATCTGATCTGCTGGTTGCCGCTCAGTTTATAGCGATGACAGAGGCGAGCAGGCTAATGTGAAAATGTTAACGGTAGTCAATGTTTGAATCGTGTATAGGAGAGACGATGAAGGTCAAAGGAAATAACCGATAGATGAACTGATTCAAATGCTGATGAAACTAGTGAGCTGAAACGGGAGAGTGGGATGAAATTATGTAAGACACTAGATCACCTTGTAGATGTATTTATATCATACATTTCACACACGTCTGAGTCTGTGTGCCAAACAAATCATGATACAATAATCTTTACGAAAAAGAAAACGTTCCATGATTTGCTTGTGAGCCGAATACTATCAGGTTTCCCGGGTCAGTGAGGGTGAATTTTCTTAAGGAATCCACAACCGGGGCCTTCGGTTAGCCACAGTCTGACCCGCAAGACAACTGGGTTGTATGGGAAAACCGCAGTCTATTGGAGGTCGGTATCCAGTTAAGCGGATCATCGCCCTTTGGAAGGGGTCAAACGTCCAAGGTGCTCAATTGAACCGGTGGCCATTGCCACAACCAGGAAGGTGTGTGGTTCGTACGCCTCCTCTTGGTTCGTCTAGAATCAGGGTTTTTGGCCAACTCCCCTGGATGAACTATCAAAGATCCACCAACCCGTTTATTGCCTCGGATATCGGCTTTTTATCCTCTCACTTTTGTGGGGAAAACACCACCACGTATGGTCGCATGGGAGCATTCCGCGAGATGCAAGGGAGGGATGACCAGTCGCAGCCCTAGACACCCATCCCCGACCATACTCCGGCTTTCTGAGGCTTATAAATGCTGTATATCAAAAAAGTTCTTCCCGAACAGCATGAAACGTCTGACTTGATTAATTTTCCAAATAGTCTGAAACGTTCGGTACACAACCCGACAAATTTTCGTCTGGATCCGTCACGCTAAACACTATCACGGTTTTAGCTAGACAGTGTACATATGATTCGTTTCTGCATTCAACCTGATAATTGCTGTCGTTCACATCCCGTGAATGTACCATTCTTGGGCCTCAGAACAGCGTTCCACTGTCTGNCTGCTCTCTCTCTCGTACTGTGCGTATCGCAACATCTGAACCGAGCAAGGTCTTCGAGAATCCATCGTTGGACTATCTCTTGTTCAGTAATATCATTAAGTCACCAACCTTTGGAACTTTTTACGTGTTTATCATCTCACGTGTAAGTTAACCACCACGACCAGAATGTATGTGCAACGTGTGTCCCATAGTTTGTCAGCGGTTTCAACCATCCTCACGAGGTATGATATGCTTTCGTTTGTTCCCAAAAGACCGCTCTTCCTAGCCCGAATCAGTAGTGTGTGTAGTCCCGCTGGTTTGTGTTTTTCGGGGTTCTTTC